TCTGTGAACTAATCTTTCGCCGTGAACTAATCTTTTGCTGTGAACTAATCACTCTAAACGGATCATTCTCTGTGAACCAATCTTTCGCCTCGTTCTCGCAGATTCGTTTCATTTGTCACGCGAAAGAGCTCGGGTCTTTTTGCTCTCATTCATCTTCACATTGTGGTGTGTTTTTATTTCTTAGCTTTTCACATGGTTTTAATTACTTATGGCATTTTGTGTATTTTGTAGGCTTTGTCAGCGGAAGCAAACCATGTTGCCTTCAGTATTTAGTGTCCGAGAACCGCAGCCTTCTTTACAACGCCCACAATAGGGCCGTGAACTAATCTTTTGCTTCGTTCTCGCAGATTCGTTTCATTTGTCACGTGAAAGAGCTCGGGTCTTCACGGGTCATCTTCACATTGTGGGGTGTTTTTATTTCTTAGCTTTTCACATGGTGTAATTTCTTATTGCTTATTTTGTGTACTTTGTAGACTTTGTCAGAGGAAGCAAACCATGTTGCCTTCAGTATTTAGTGTCCGAGAACCGCAGCCTTCTTTACAACACCCACAATAGGGCTAAAGCGCCACCTGCTGTAAAACGAATGAAATGATTAGTTCAAGATTCGTTCACGACTCGTTCATTTTACTGTTCGAGAGTCAAAGATTCGAATCCATAAAAAGAGTCGGTCTTCCCATCACTATCCTGAAGCCATGTGAGAGCAACCCCTACTGTACACACCACAACTCTGAAAACCAGCAGAGAAAAAATAACACTGTGTTACTCCCTGACTCCAGCTCGTCTCTGCGTAGATGACTAATGAGTCAAGATGTTTTACTCCCATTTGTCTGTGTTGGTTGCGCAGAGTGGTGGTGGACAGCGCCATCTAGTGATTACAATAGGTATACGGTCATTTGTATTTTGGCTAAACTTTATTTTGGAAATATTTGTTATTTAATTCCAAGATATTTTACATGGATAGATAACTCGGACACTATATTCATTCGTAGACCATGATTTCGGTGGTAATAACATCTGCAAAAAATGTTTTCTTCGACGAGTTATTTACATTTTGTGGTATTAAGTAAGCCTCTCCTATGAAACGCAGTTGATTAATCTGAACTTTGTCCTTCGGCGCCATCTCGTGATTAAACAGCACAACTGTTTGGAACGGAGTATTAATGCTGATAACGTCATTACGTAAGCGCGTTGTTGACGTGGGGTGAGCGGTCGCAGTGCGAGTAGTTCTCCAGTGGTTGGGAGGTTGGTTACAAACCTAACAGCAAGGTGAGATCCAGGATAATCTCCGGGAGGAGTAATGGCTTTTATCCGGGATAACTGACTCGTGTTCACTTTTAGAGGTGAGTGTTATTCGTACACAACTTTTTTAAAACATAATTCACCATCGATGCCTATAGCCGACTAAACTGTGCAAACCACAGTAGCCACATACATTAGTTAGACGGTAGCCTAGCTTTAGCTTAGCATAGGTTGTTCCAATCGCGTACACACGGTGTTCAGGTTAATAAGTAAAATAAATATTGCTCGTACTTTTTCCACAGAAGCTCATTCGTATACACATGGTGTAGTTAGCTGGTCAACGGTACTAAATCCATGCATTGCGATAAACGCAGGGGTGTGAGCGTTAGCATATCTTTGTTTATATGTTCCTGTTTAGTTTAGAAGTAATCAGGTTTGTTTTTAAACACGTTATCTACCCTCCTGATGAGGGGTTAATATCTTCGCCTGTTTGTTGTTAATTATCCACAATGATCAACTCAAATATAAGACTCTAGGCACCTGCACTTTGTTTGAACTTCACAACCTTCACCAAGTCATCTTGGGTTTGGCCACATCAGTTGTTACATAACTACAATATAAACGGTATGCTAAGCTATCAAAAGTTGACAATGTATTAGCTGATAGTGCTATCGAGGGCTGATCGGATAATTAAAGGGTAACGTCACATAAACAGAAGATCTCGCCAGTCTTAAGTCCACAACTAGCACCGGTTATTAACACTAGTTAACAAATTATTCCATAAGTTAAATTGAATTAAAAAAAATCAGCCATCATATTTAACACATTTAATTGTAAAAAAATACTTCAAGTTAACTTAAAAAAATCTAAATAAAACTTCCCCTACATATCACGTGGCCTTTTTTTGGTAACTTGAAAGCGAATTATAAAAATTTTAAAATGTGATTACAATTTTGATTCTGTACCAGCTACAAATATCGGATTCATTTAAATGTTGTTACAAAGAATGCAAAAACGATATTTCCACTCGTTTTATGAACCAACAACACTTTTACAGTGTCATTTGTTAAAAGACACTGTAAAACCAACTGGGGATTCTTGTTAAACTAGCAAAGGCCTGGACTTGAAACACTCACATGTCTGTGTTTTTGTCCCACAGGAGTATGTTGAATCACATTTTATGTGAACAAATTGCTGGCAATTTGGCAATGTTTTTTAATGCTAAACGAATACTTTAAAATTTATATTTTTAAAATGTTTAAATATAAATTATTATAGTATCAAAGTGTACTGATTTGTATTAAATCTGTCTAAAAACAGTGTGTACAATTATTAGTACATAATGTTCATTTTGCATGCTACATACCTGACATTCAAATTACAAGTGGCTATAAACAAAAAGCTTTTGGGTCATTTAAGAAGGACTTGGGAATTCTTCCTTGAGACTACCTTGTACCCATCAACACTACTGGAGCGATACGACTGCAAAGAGTACAAATGGAACATATCTTAGGAGTTCTTGTGAGGTACTTTGAGGATCTAACGCTCAAAAGACTGATAATACATGATACAAATTTTGATACTAACAAATAACACCTCATTTGAAATCTTGGTCAACCTATATCAGCCCTTTAAACTTCTGTGTGTGTGTTTATACATCAGCTCAGGTTGGCATGTTCTCAGCCCTTCTCATACTTCTTCTTCTTCTTTCGGCTTTGTCCCTTTTTCAGGGGTTGCCACAGCAAATCATTGATTTCCATCTCTCCCTGTTCTCTGTATCTTCTACTCTGACTCCAACTACCTGCATGTCCTCCCTCACTGCATCCATATATCTCCTCTTTGGCCTTCCTCTCTTTCTCCT